TGTTATCCCCCAGGTCCCTGAGCGCGGAGAGGGTCTTCTCCAGAGCGGTCTGGGTCTCCTTCACCACCGCCGCCGCCTGCATCTCGTCCTTGACGGCGGTCTCCGCGGCCTTCATCGCGGCAGCCGCCACCTCCTCAGCCTTGGCAGCCGCAGCCTCCGCCATCACCGCCTGGATGGATTTACTTACTGATGTTAGTCATGAAAATCCTTTTTTCCCCGTAGCGCCGCAGTGTCGTAATCCAATGGGCTTCAGAAGATCATTAGGCTGTAGACAAGTAACCCCAGTCAAACTCAAAACCCTCAACAACAACACCCGCACCAACCCAACGCGAGGTTGTTGAAGTTCACAAAAGCTCACAAAAAGCGCCGCAAGGCCCTCACAGACCGCAGGCAGGAACTCATGGCACTCCCCCCCTCTTTCAGCTTCCCCCCCCCACACCCCTAAGTCTCCCCTCCTCACCTACTCCCAAGACCCACTATCCCCCTACCCTACAAACACGCCGTCAGTTCATTCTTTTTTTCCTTGCATACAACTCACATCCCCCTCCTTTTTGCGTAAATATGACTTTTTCCGCCCCACACCAATCTCTGTATTGTTAATAACGCCTAGGGTTTACTAGACCCTATTAACAATACGGGATTGTCCATCCACTCACCACTCACCTACCACTCACCCCTACACACCCCTACACACACAAACACACCCCTACACACCCCTACACACACCCCTACACTCACCCCTACACACACCCCTACACACACCCCTACACTCACCCCTACACACCCCTACACTCACCCCTACACTCACCCCTACACACCCCTACACTCACCCCTACACACACCCCTACACTCACCCCTACACACCCCTACACTCACCCCTACACACACACACCTTGGCATACAGCTCCTCCATGGTGGTCCTCAGAGCCAGTATGGACTCAGACATCTCCGCGGCCCGGACCTCAGTCTCGGCCAGCTCCGAAACCAAGGCGGACATGGAGACCTGGTACTGATCCGCCTGCGGGGTCCACAAGCCGGCACCCGGGTGATCCGGTCCCAGCAAGGCGTGTATGTATGTATGTATGTATGTGGAGGGGGGAAAGACGAACCACACACGATTGAAGCTGCTGCCAGGGCAAGAGAGCAACGAACGTGTGTGACGGGGGAAGGAGGGGGCCCGGAGATCAGGCATATCCAGGGGCCCATGCCGCCTTCAACACATGCGTGCACCACCCAGGAGCGGCACAGCCGGGTAAGGGAGGGGAAAGACGAACCACACGCGATTGAAGCTGCTGCTGTAAGGGAGGGGGGGTTAAGGACAGAGTGGGAAGGCCAGAGCCGTACGAGACACAGGACAACCGAGCACGGCGATACACGCACACGACACGCGGCGCTCACCTCCGGCCCAGAGGGGGACTCCGTTTCGGGTTTCTGTCCCTCTAGGGCCTCCTTGCTTTGCCTCAGAGCCGCGACCTTGTCCACCCAGACCTGGGGGGTTAGAGGGGGGAGGTGGAGGGCAGGTGGGGAAAGACGAACCAGGAATGAACGAGGAGGGCAGGTGGGGGGAGGAGTCACAGGCAGGTGGGGTCCTAGGCACGACGAAATACAGACGATCGACGAAAGGAATATACCATAGAGACGGATACAGAAAAGGCAGGAGGGGAAGAATAAGGAAGAGAGGTCAGGCAGGTTAGGCCAGGACTTGGTCCTCCACACCTAGGAGGCTCTCGCGATATAAAATCGCAAACCGATCATCACAACAAACATACACAAGCCAAGCTAACACACCATGCCCGGATGTTCCCCGCCAAAACCAACACCACAAAAACACACATACATACATACATACATACATACATACATATATACATACATACGCACTCATGCCCCAGCTCGTCTCAGTCTGCTGGGTCGTGTCTGGCTTTCACTCACTTCCCCACCCACTCCACCCACCCACTCCACCCGCCCACCTGCTGCTGCCTAGTCGCCTCCTCTATCTTGGTCAGCATTGCGAAAACCTCCGCCTTGGCCTTGTCCTTGGCCTCCGCAGCGCCCACCGCGAGCTGCACACGGCGCGCGCGAGTGTATGTATGTATGTATGTATGTGCGCGTGAGGGGCCCCGGGGAGGGCGGGGGGGGGGGAGAATGCACACGCACGGGTGAACCAACGAGGTTGGTGGAGTCGTGTGCAAGAATCTAAGGGCCAACGGGGGGTGGTTATAGTGGTTGGGGGAGGGGATGGGAAGGGTGCGTGAGGTGGTGGATCAGGACGGCGGCTGGGGAAGGAGCCGGCAGGTTGCAGCCAGGCCACAATCCATTGAGAAAAACCCAAGTCCTAAAAACGCAAAAAGCTATATCTTGCCGTACCATCGCAGCCGCATACCGCGCATGGTCTCGGAGGTAATACGCCGAAACCCTCGGGACTGATGCAACCCATCATCACCTTCATCATCATCATTATCATCACCGTCAGCAGCAGCACTAGGGCTGCGCCTACGGCTCACTGCCCCAGGTACCTGTCGCCCAAGGTAACCGTTCTTCCTGTACCCTGTTCATCCCCTTCGTCTTCACCAAAGGGGGCTCCCTTTCAGGGCAGGTGAGGCAGTAGTTACTGACTGCCTTGTAGCGTTTCTGTACCCGGCAGAGCTACACTGTTTGCGCATGTCGCATATAGCAACATGGATCTCTCTCTCTCTCTCTCTCTCTCTCTCTCTCTCTCTCTTCGGAATCCGCGCTTCGTGCCGCTCACCTGCGCGACCTCCTGCGCTTCAGCCTCCAGAGCCTCACGCACGCGCTGCGCCTCATAGAGACTCATTCGGGAGCTGTTCAGGGCTTGAATGAGGGGGTTCGTGCTGCCGAGCTTCTCCGTGATGTCCATGGTGGCGAGCGGGGTAGAGGGCAGACTGCCATTGCTTTGTTGGATGGGTGTAGGCATGGTTGCGGGGGCGCCATTGAGATCTGCTGTGACGCTCGTCGGTGGGTTCAGCCGAAAGCCGGTGCGATTTGCGGGCGCGCCAGGGGCGAGGTTGCGTCGGCGAGGTGCGCCGCGAGGCGCAGAGGGTAGGGGCACAGTACTCTGCCGGCGGGCCATGCCGGCGGCTAGCATGCCCGTGGGCCGTTGTTGGAGTTGAGGAGCCATGTGGGCCTACTGTGAGCCGAAACCTGCAGTGGTTTTATGATCGATGACTTGGCTCAAGGATAGCGGCAGCACTGGGGGTTGTCGAAGCGTGGCCCCGAGACCCTGTCACGCGGTGGCGTGGTGGCCAGGGTCAAAACTTTTAACTGGCCCTTCCAGGTAGCACTGACTTGAGATTAGTGAATAAATTCAGGTCGAATACCAAATGGTGGAGCCCAATTGGCTAGCAGCTGTACTCTGTCGTGCCAATCAGTGTGCCGTCTCGGCATTTCGGCACGGACTTTCGACTTACTTGGCAAACTAGCTGGTTTGTAATCCTTGATCTCAAGCCGATACCAAAGCCCAATTCAGGTTCTTGCAGTGGTAACTATGTCCACGCCTTGCAAGTTGCACGAGGGAGCGAGTTCAGAAGAGCCGCCAAGGAACGCGTTTCTAAAGATAAGTCTACCTGAGCCAGGCGTTTTAAGACAACACAGACACAGCTTTGGAGTAACTAAAATTTGAAATGCCTGTTGCAGCGTTCGGGTCCAATTCTGGTGTGCGGGGCCTTGCGCGAATGAATACCCGTATTCCATAAAGTTAACGGTTCTGATCGCGCAAGTCTTACAAATTGAATAATAATCCTGCAATTATAGATTGAGCCTGATGTCGGATTTGGAAGTATAAGTGAGCCAGTATACCCTTTTGCCGAGCACTTAGAAGCTTACCGATAGCATATTATATACAGTATAATTGTGTCAGTCCATCCTCCTAGGTGTCCAAGAGAGCCCATTATTGTGCAGTGATGAGAGCTACATTTCCTTGCGGGCCATATCGGCAAGCCAGCTTGGGCGGAAAGATGCACATGCTTTGAAACCTTTGACTTCGCGTTACTATAAAACTATAAGAATCGCCGTCCTCTGTGCTGGAAGAGAAGAAGATCGTGAAGCGGTGCAAGCGTTCATCGAAACGGGCCTTCGTGCCAAACCCCACCTATCCTGCTCATGTATCTCGACCTTACCGGATTGCATTGTTTTCTGCTGATTGCTTCTCACAGAGTTGCGGTCACCCGTCAAATTGCGAGAGCAGCTGGCGGGCTCCGGCACGAACAGGAAACGTTCATAAGACAGGACTCGTCGAAGTAGCGCATGCATGCGGAAAACCTGCTATTTTGCTGATCTTCGCCACCTACCGCTCTGTACAGGAGCACGTTGCTGCGGTCAGCGGTCGGACACAATTCGCGGAGATTTCTATCCATTTACAGACGACATGAGGATACGCAGTCGTTGCAAGTCCGACATACACTGTTACACGCGACTGGATGCAGCAGGCGGACCAAGTCCCCTTCACACACCGCCCGTCCCCCCAGCATAGCACCACACGCGCGCACGCCACATAACAGTGAGCTCGCGCACTTCCACTTCCCGTTCACACGTACACTAAATGCGGCACACAGCTCACAACCCACAACGCCGCTTAATTCCGGCGGGCCGCGCCACATACACACACACCGCATCCCCCCTCCTCCCCAGGCCCCCCCATCTCGCCCTCAATCGCTCGCTCTGCTCACATTCGCTGCTATATCTCGGCTCACATTGTGGGACACATCTAAGGTCCGTACAGTGCGCCCACCCTTGCAAATAATGGATTTCTTCTTCCTACCCGGCCACGCGCCATCCTCCCTTTGTTCATCCCCCTTAAGAGAACCATGCACTTGAAAACCTGCATGCATGCCCCTGCCAGTGGAATTGACCTCTCGAACTGAGCTTCTGCCAAACCCGTTTCAACCCCCCCCCCACACACACACACCGCCTCATTCGGGTGTTTTAAAAGCCGCCGCGCAGAGCTGTGCGACACACACACACACACACACATACACACGCACAGACACACCACACGCAATGCGTCATCATCATCATCATCATCATCATTAACGTCATGTACGGAATCCGCCAGAATCTCACCGCTCTCCCACCGGGCCTCCTGCTGCTGCTGGCTGCCGCTGCCGCTGGGGGCCAACTCGTGATGGAGCGAAACACTCAAGGAGGAACAAGAAGCAACACCCAACGGAAGGAAAACCCTAATAATCAGACAATCAGACAAACGAGCAAAGAACAAAATCTCTCTCTCAGCCGGAATGGCTGCCAAAAGCCTATTCTGTCCAAAATCTTTGGAGAGCAATCCTTGGCAATCGTTCTGTAGTCATCCCCCCGACCCCACTCGCCTGAACTCGTCTGCCGTACATGTACGCACATGTTCTGTCGATACTACAGCCGTATGACGCGACAACAGTACACCACGGTGCTGGGGCTATACGGTGGCGCAAGAAATTTGACAAGGAACTTTCGCTATGCACGTGTGCTTCGAACGACGACTCTCGGTATGTGTCGCATCTAGCTGGAGGAAAAAGAGAGCCCTCCCTGAATGGGAAGAAGAAGAAGAAGAAGAAGAAGAGAAAAAAGAAGCAAAGCTCACACTCTACAGGTAACGCCATCATCAACACAAAAATCCCTCCACCACGACACCACAAACACAGGAAGCATGGAACAAGCAACCGGGCAGTACGAAGATGGTGCGGGCGGCACGGGAAAGGCGAAGAGCTCAAGAGACATCTCGTACTCCTCCTCCTCCTCCTTCTCCTCCTCCTAGACCAACTTCTTGATCCGACAACGCCAGCTAGCCGCCTCACACTCCACCCACACATGCAGCGTAACGAACAGTCAGACCAAGTGGCGTATTGCAGCACTCCAACACTTAAAGTGTTAAAAGTGTCGTACTGCCGTATATCGAAACGTCGGTGCCGCGTACTCATATCCATGCACCAATGAAAGGCATTTCTCTCCTCTCTTGGTATACTTTCTCCTCCTCCTCCATTGCCTCCCCCCTGCCTTTCCTCCCCTCTTCACACAACCCACTCAGGCGCCGGAGGACGCGGGCGGAGGACACCGTAGCCACCGGCGGCAGCAGTGTAGCACATTCCTCGCCATCCCCACCGCACAACCCTCCGCACACACACGCACACACGCCTCCCAAAACCCTAGAGCGTGCAACCCAAGCATGCAAAAACACCGCCGCAGTGCTGCATTGTCAGAAGCTCCAAAATTCACAAAATCGATATCAAAATCTACAAAACGGAGCAGCGGCAGCAAAACCGCAAGCTCTACGAACAGCGGTACACAGCCGCCTCGCAAGCGCACACTCGATTCAGCCAACGCCGCCAACAGCAACAGGGGCCAAGCTCGCCTCAAACAAAGCGCCACTAGGGGCCCCCCTCACTCCCACGACCTCTATACCGCGATCTCTCCTAGATGTCGACTCGCCAGGGCCCCATGCAGCGGGTTCCCAATCCCTCGAGCACAATATTGGCCCCTCTCCTCTGCCCCCAACCACCCATCCACTCATCCACACAACAAACAACTCTTTCCCCTTTCACTCACTCACACACACGCACACACTCCCTTCATCAGCGGCTTCTATTCTCGACACGCTGCCATGTCAACACCTCCAGCCCTCTCTCAAAACAACGCGCCAGGCACTACGTTTTTACTTTTGGGGTAGCGCAATTTCTGTCCATCTGTCCATCTGTCTGTCTGTCTGTGGCACCCGCGTCGCCTCTCACCAGTGTTCTAATAATGAAACCAATCAATCAACAAACAAACTCAAACCAGCGCAGACGAGTTCAGGACGTCGAACTCCTTTCTCTCTATCTCTCTCCACACCACACGACGACCCCTCCTCAACTCCGTCCCCTCCCGCCGCCACGCCACTCCTCTACCTCGGCGTGCAATTACGCACAGATAAAACCAACTCCCCGCAAAAAATATCCCGGCGAAAGCATTGACGAGTGGTATGATGTTATCCTCCGCCAAATCCTCGCGCAAACAACTACAACAACAACAAAATGCCGCGTCCTCGCTGCCCATATCCACGTACGGCTGAGCCGTACAAATGGGAAATCCGGAAGGACGAGTACGGCACACCAAAGGAAGCCACGTGGCGAGGGTCGTACGCTAGGGTCGAGGACTGGAACCTCAATACCGTTGTACGACACGCTACGTCACACCCGCTGTAGCATCTCTCCCGCCAGTTTCGGGAACAGAGCCAGTCGACATACGACAGCAGCACCCAGAAACAAATAAAGAAGGGGGGAAGATAGTGGTGACCAAAATGAAGAGCAAAGGCTGCGCCGCGCTCTTCAACCGCAATCCCCAATCCTCAACCACGTCGTTACTCCCCCCAACTCCCCCATACACACACGCACAAACACACACACACTCACTCCCTGATACCTCTCCGCCTGCTCCTCCTACGCCCTGCACTCAATCAAAAAGCCAACCCATCACCCAACGTTCACGAGAGCCGTTCCGCTCCTCGACAAGGGGAACAACATCTGCATCCGCTCCGAGACCATAGGGCCCGTGAGCCCGTCAAGGAAAAAGTTATAGGAAGGTATTGATAATGCCTTTCTGCTGTATTTGGAGTAGTAGTTGTTGTTGTAGTTGTCATTGTTCAAACTGCTCAAAAACTGGCGCGCTAAAGGGATTCTTCTTTTTTTCTTCTTCTTTCCCCTCCCCCCATTCCCAATGCTCATCCTTACGAGCTGACCACACCACGAGACGATTGTCGGCCGTCATCACACGACCCCCAACGGCCAACATCACCCCGGCCCTGAAATGCCGACGACGATGCCGCCACCCCTGCCGTAATGCCGCCGCAACGGCAAAACACAAGAAAAACTCCGCACGAAAACGCGCATTGACGTCATTGTCGTCGTCCGCACCACACCATCCACTCGAAATGCGCAGATGAAATCCCGCCGGCACGAACACACGGGCAGTGCGAGGGTGGCCCAACCGCTCAACGGAAAACGCACAAACAGCAAAACAGAAATGCAAACGCCCACCACCCCTCCCCCCACAACGTTCGATTAGCTTGCAACGCATGCAAGCATCGACGACAGCTTCCGGTCTGGCCTGTACCTTGCCGTACAAGCCGTACAAGCCGCCGGCCGGCACAGTCTCCGAACCTCCACCACTCTCCTACTGGTCCCAACTACCGAGACACCCAACGTGAACTCCAAAACCAAATCAAGACTTGCATACATACATACATACATGTAGCAAACACATGCAATAATCATCACCACGTGATGACGCAATGTGAATCGTACAGCCGCCTAAGCAAAAAGAGCGGGAAAGTGGCCCTCGCAGTCCCATGTCTCAACCACCTAACCGACAGCACAACCATAACCAGCAACAACAACGAATTGCTGCTTCATGAAACCCTAGGTACCAAAACCCCAGAGCCCCCCCCCTCCCCGCCCGTCCACTGCCCCTGTCTGCCTTGCCTCCTTTTGTCCCCTTCCGACCCCGAAAGAATGTTAAGCTCCCTCAAGTGCTCATTTGGACACGGGGGTTAGGCGGGGTACATGGCGGGGAAAAAACACACCGACGCGCACCCTCACACACACGGGGGGGCCGGCAGCCGCGTGCGGGATGAGGGTGCCAGTTGAACAAGACCAAAGCAACTGCAGCTGGCGAAACCAAGGTGGAGGCACGAGGTGGAAACTACGAGGCGGGGAGTAGGGCCTCCAGCCGCGCACGAATCTCGTCAAGCTCGTCTGCACTCAACCCCGAGTAGCGGGCCAATGTGGACGGGTCTGCACCGCTGCCCACCTCCTGCAAGTTGGAGTACTTGGAGTGGGAAGGGGGAGGAGGAGGCGATGAGGACGAATGGTGCGGGTTGCTGCTGCCGCCGCCGCGGCCGGCCGTTCCACTGCCGCTAGGTGGCGCCGCCGGAGGCGGCGCCGTCGCCGTCGCCGTGGCGGCGCCG